CCCTACACGACGCTCTTCCGATCTCCCCAAAACCCCAAAACCCCATGCATCATAATATCAGTGTCAAATTGGTGAAATAGTATTAAATCATAATGTCATAAAATACTACTACATCGAATACCACTAGTAAACAAAGTTTAATTCTGAAAAGAGCGATATTAGGTGGAGCTGCAAGTATCGTCGCTGCTTCAAGCACTCATCCCATAGACGTTGTTAAGATCAGACTGCAAACTTAATATCAATCTTAGGAAAAAGTCTATCGAAACTTCTTTCAATCAATTAGATTGATTCATAGCAATGAAGGTATTACTGGCTTGTATAAAGGACTTTCTGCATCATGGGTAAGAGAAAGTATCTATTCAACAATAAGATTAGGTTCGTATGAACCAATCAAGTAGTTACTAGGAGCCACAGATCCCAATAACACTTCATTTTTCTTGAAATTCCTGTCAGGAGGAATGGCTGGTATGGTCGCTTCAATGTTCTCAACTCCCATGGACTTAATAAAGATAAGAATGTAGGCTTCTGATTATACACAATAAAGAAGAAGTATTTTATCTCACGGTAAGGAAATTTACCAGAATTGGGGATTGAAAGGGTTGTGGAAAGGCGTATAGCCAACAGTATTTAGAGCAATTCTGCTTAATGCCACATTTTTAGCTAGTTATGATCACACAAAGCACACACTAATAAATTACAAAATACTTCCTGATGGCTAAGTAAATCATATGGTCTCTAGCATAATTTCAGGAATATGTATTGCTCTTGTCATCACACCTATAGACCTGATTAAAACTAGAATCTAGAATCAGAGAGTAGATAACATTAAATATAAAGGGATATTAGATTGTGCCATTTAAATAGTGAAGAATGAAGGATTATTAGGATTGTATAAAGGATTTACTCCATAGTGGTTAAGATTAGGGCCCTACACTATAATTTAACTGATGGTTTGGGAGAAGTTGAGAGAGCTCAATGGAATGAAAGGCCTTTGAATTAGATATGGAAAGCTATTCAATTATATGCAGAGCATCATTCTTTAAAGTTAAGATTTAATTGTTGATATTAGTTAAATTTAAGAGATTTATAAGTAATATTAATAAAATAAATGTTTGTATTTCCATTGGCAGTAGAAATTGCTAGATATTACAAAAAGAAAACCAAGCCATTTCATCAGCTACTAGTAATTGGGCCATAAAGTGCAGGGAAAACAACACTCATCAGAGCTATTATTGATAATGAATCTATTAAGATCCTAAAGAAGAACGACACTGAAAATCCAAGCTTTAAAATCAAGCATGTGAGATACACTTTAATTGAGTAAACTTTGCAATCTTTGTAGAGTGATCTTGAAAAGTACCTGAAGGTAGCAGCTATTATATTACTAATTGATATCTCGGATGAAAACAGCATAAATGAGGGGAAAGAGATCTTGAACTTTATTTAGGAAAATGATGTATTAAAGGAAAAGCCAATAGTTATTTACGGAAATAAGATGGATATTGCTTCATCCATAACAGAATACTAGATTAGGAAATAATTTGGGTTACTGATAGACATGTACACTGTTTAGGAATAGAGAGTTAATATATATCTATGCAGTGCTTCAATCAATACTGGATTTATGCCGGGCATTTAATGGCTTACTGATGAATTTCTGAAGAATCCAAAATGAACTTGCATCTTTAAATTATTGCCGATTGCTCATATTTTGAAATTATGATGAAATCATTAGTAATTCTTTATAAAATATCTTATTTTTAGGATAGGGGTTTTGGGGTTTTGGGGTTTTGGGG